CATCGTTCAGCGACAGTTACAAAATGCAAAGCGCCCGGTGTTCGTAGAAAACTGAAGAATAACCACTGCATTGTTAACGAATAAAGCAACATTTTAAGCCAGCATCTGTTTAAAATCATAATCGAAGGCTTCGATTGAGTTATTAATCACAAGGTTCAGATAATAGACCATTATAATGAGATAGCATAATGAGACATAATGTTAATGAAAGAATTCATGGAAAAATTAGTGTAGTTTTAAATATGTTCTCAGCTACTCCTACTAGTGAAAGGTGTTTGCAATTTTGCCAATATACAACCGTTTTAAACCAGAGGGATCGTCACTTCTGGGGATGCATTTTATTTCAAATATAGATTTGGCACTGCTGTGATGGAATGCGGGAGGCAAGAATAAACAAGAATAGACAGAAGGATAAGCAGGATTGTTCAGGATATCTTGCGAAAAAAATAGACAGGGATGCATACAAATACAAAGGGGATGTTTGTAATAGAAAATAGATTTTCTGAGATTTTTAATTTTATGTGGATGATGATGTTTCGTTCCCCCTGTTAAAACCCGAAAAGAAGAGTTAAGAATCTCTTACATTTTCTGCCAACGAACACAGCACCAAAACATCATCATGATTATTGCCTCATACATACAATCCCTATTCCTATTATCAGTTGATTTCACGATGATTGTCATTCGATTAATTTGGTCGACCAACAAAATTCAAATGAAAATCATCACAATATTGGATGATTATTGATCGATTTGTGAAACCTTACATACATCACATGATAATTCTTTGGATATTCAGATGCTTCTTATAATTATTTTAACTGGTTAATGTTGAGAAAATATCTGGAGTCGATTCGGATAATAAGTTGCTGTAATGTGAATGTGACTGGAATGAGTTACATACAAGTTACCAGAACTTTTCAGTGACAAGTTGTCCGTTAGGGTATTGATTCGGTTAGTAACTTAATTTTCAATTTATTTTATACATAAATCATAATTTAATAACTTCACCACACTGAACAATGGTCCTAACTCCGTATTTACGAAGACAAAAATGTTTGCGCCTAAACCGTTAGTTTTAGTTCGTGGTGTTTTCGAGTTTTTTTTTATATTTTACTAGCTGAGTGTGCCCGGTCTTGCTAGGGATTCAATATTAGCTTGAGTTTATGCGCCGATTTAAAAAAAAGCATGCTATATTGTACGTAGCCCCCCCCCCTATATTATCTAAGGGGCTAACCCCTATGATTATCTCCTTATACCCCCACACTCGCCCCCACATGCCTAATTTGGTTCCATTTGCTTGATTAGTTCTCGAGTTATGCAGAAATTTCTGTTTCATTTGTATGGGAGCCCCCCTTACAGAAGGGGCAGGGGTCTCGAACCATCATAAGAACCTTCCACGGCCCCAAAAACCCCTGTATACAAATTTTCATGCCAATCGGTTCAGTAGTTTCCGAGTCTATAAGGGTCAGACAGACAGATAGACAGAAATTCATTTTTATATATATAGATGAGCAATTTGCATTTGAAATTAGGATGGTCTCTATGGTTAGGGAGTTCAAAATATCAACTGTTGAGTTATTTGAGATAGACCAGTGCAATGTTTTTTTATCTAGTTTATTTATTTGGAAGGCTCAATTGCGTTAGCTTTACGGAGACGATAATTCATTGTTTTTTGTAGAACAACTTATTTGAAGCAAATTTGCTGCAAACACTTATTTTCTATTCCAAATGGATCTCATTGTCACCCCTATTTTGTATTTCGTTTCGACCGAAATTCTCATACAAAAAAATATTTTTTTGTATGAGAATTTCGATCGAAACGAAATACAGAATAGGGGTGTGTATACTGGTTTTAAAGAGGTAACTTAGAGTAACCTCTAAAAAATAACTTTTTTTCCATTAAGTTTTTAAACATTGATTTCTCGCAAATGATTTGTTCTAGATACTTTTAGAAGTTTTGATGGCGCATTTTTATGCTTGAATATCTCTCTTTCTGTTAGAATGTTATAAAAGATTTTTGTAGAAAAATTTGCTATTTTCAAATGTTGATATCTGAAAATGGAGCAAATGGATTTAAATGCTGTTGGTTGCATTTGAAAGGTCGATGTGTTATTCAGTTTCTGTATCAACAGGCTCATGGCCCAATGATGGTTATTTAACACTACTGACTGTCATACACATAATAAAAAAATAAACTAAAACCTACACAGATAAAAATTCTGAATTTTAATAGTGACCTAAGCATTCATTCACGTAAACTTGTATTTCATTTCACGCATCCGAGCAACTTGTAAACAATGTTTTTTACAACAATGGGCTTTTGTATACAATATTTACTATATTGCATGAAATGTCTCAGAACTATACATGATATATAATGTAAACTTATATGATATGTGACGCTCCATTTATGTGCATCATACTGAACAGAAATTTACACTACTTTTTCGAACTGTGTAATAACTACTCGTTACGATTCGTTCTCCAATAAAATAAAGCAGAAATTTTTCAAGCCAAACACAGATGTAACTCAGTTGAATAATATTTGAAGACCTATGATAGCACTATGCATGCCGTAGTTAGTTCTAATCAGTGGCAAGTGATCTGCTTGTTTTGCAATTACCTAGGCTGCACGAAGTTTTTCATTTGTTCCAATACAGCTGGGTAAACAACTTGACCCCTGAAATCTGATTTGTTTTTCCTATTAAATCTTTTTGCATTGATTTCTGGCAAATGAGTGCCTAGAACGTACAATCTAGCGAGAGATCAATGTATAAAAAGACATAGTGTTGTTTTACGTCATGCTAAGTTGGCTTTTTAAAACCAGTATAAACCGAAAACCATAAGCGATAGAAAATGCGTATCTTGAGCAAAATTGCTTCAAATAAATTGTTCTACAACTTTGCAGAACAGCGACACCTCTCACTCCAAAGGGCCTGAGTTCAATCCCAGTCGGTGCCGTCGGGATTTTCTGAGGCATAAAAGTTCTGATCATGCCTTCTTTCTGAAGGGAAGTAAAGCCGTTGGTCCACCGTCCATGAGTTGATGGGTCGATAGGTAGGATCCAGGTGTGAGAGCTGCCTGCCTGGCGTCGGAAGCATTGGTACTCAGTACGGAAAACAAGATCGACGGAAAACAAATCAAAGAAAAAAACCCTTTGTAGAATATTACACTGGTATATTTCAAATAACTAAAAAGGTGACATTTTTAACTACCTAACCATAAGGACCACCCTAATTTCATAAAAAAATTGATAAAATATAATTAAATGAGAATTTCGATTGAAAATGAACCGAATCGACTTTACACGATGTAATTTTTTTAAATAACAACGGTTGTTTCGAATTAAACTAGCTTAAGAAAATTTCATTTAAATGCTATTGGCGTAGCTAATGAGAGTGCCTATCCGAGCAAAGTTTAAGATGAATTTGAATATAAAATTTGCTGTTGTGATGTTAAAAAATTTTATTACTCATTTTGATCTAATATTGGTTGACTTAACCGTTAACACATAAAAAATGAGAGCATATATGGAAAACTAATCATATATTCATTAAATTCATAATGATTACTGGTTTTGAATTCATTGATTTTAAAATTTGTTTTCAAAAGGAGTTTTTATTTTGGTTACTTCAATAACAACCAATCCAAAACATATTTAGTTTTCAATCTGCTGTAAATGTATATCAAATTGATTACTTATTATGATGTTGGATTTTCGCCATTGCTACACACTAAGATTGTTTTACAGATCTCTGTAAAATTTTACCGAAATCTCAACAGCTGAACGTTCGGTAAACAATTTTACATTTTTTCTGTAATTATTTATAGATATCTGTGAAAAATTCACAGATATTTGTGAAAAATTACAGGAAATCTGCGAAACTGTTTACCGAACGTTCAGCTGTTGAGATTTCGGTAAAATTTTACAGATTTCTGTAAATATTTCTAAGTGTGTATCAAAACTAGCTTTCATTGTTATTATTAGAAATAATAATAAAAAAACTAATTTGAATGATTTTTTTTTGTTTTTATCTAATTAAATCTCTTATAAAGTAATTGAATACAAATTCATGTATGAGGGCTAACTGAAGAAAATTATTATTCTGAATATTGTTAGGTACGGTTTTCTTTATTACAAAGGCTTTCAGTATGATGCTAATTCACCTTCACGTGAACGTTATTTTTAGGCTCAACAAGTTTACACATTCCTGAAATAAAACTCAACTTCCTAGAAGTTTTGAATGAACTAAATGTGCATTTATAATTAAAAGGAAACATATTGAAAAACGCTAAGGAATTGAACAAGAACTAAGAAATTCAACATTCAGTCACTAAAATGTAAAATCGAGTTATGACTAAAAAAAAATGAAAAACAAAACTTATTGGCCTCTCCTAATGATTTTTATGACCATCTGCATGAGTCGGTTGTATCCATCAGCGACTTTGTGTGCAGTTGCGCTTTCATCATGCAAAAAAATGCGTCGATCTAACAATGAGAATTTATACTAAGTAAACATATTTTACCGTTGGATTATTTACCTTTGCCGGCGCCGGGGGTGTAGTGGTAAGCGTGACTGCTTTCTAACACCCCGATGGGTCTGGGTTCAATCCCAGCCGAGGTCGGTGGGATTTTTCTGAGGCATAAAAATCTCTGGTCAAGTCTTCCTTCGGAAGGGAAGTAAAGCCATTGGTCCCGGTCCATGTGTGTTGAATGGGTGCGATATCCTACGCAGGTGTGGAAGCTGCCTTCCTGCACATTCGATTACCGTCAATGGATGGCAATCGATGTCCGTCGGTGATTGGCACTAGATTGCGGAACAGAGACCGACGTTAAATAAAAAAAAAAAAAAAAAAAAAATATTTACCTTTAACAAATGTAACCTTTTCCTCTTGCAACGCTATACGAACTATAGCTGGAACTGGTGCGAACAACAGATTGAACTGCTACTGATGTACTTGGTCCGGCGACTTGATCTTCGTCTTCGTTGGAGCTGTCATGTTGCTTTCGATTTGCTTTTCGGGCGCCCTGTAGGATTGTTGGATGTTCTCCTGCCTTTAAATCCCACCGGCCAGATAGGAGTCATTAAAAACTTGACGAACAAGTAGTCGCTGTTCTCTTCCTCCATAGACATTCTAAGTATGATTTCGCTGGATGGGAATCCTTCATCTCTAAATGGTTTTACCGAGGTAGGAAGAACTTTTGAAACCAGGGCCTGCTGAAGTTTTGCGTGAGAAATTTTAAGGCTGTGTTTCTTCTTCTTGAGTTTTGACATCTTTTCTTTTGCTTGCTCTAATTCTGCTTGCATGTCAATCACCTGTGCCTCCAGTTGATCTACTTTATCGAGGCTTGTCACCTTTTCTCTGGCTTGCAGCTCAATCACCTGGGCCTCCAGTTCATACACTTTCGCTTGTAGTTCACAGGCACATACTGATTTGATTATAAATAATATAAGTCAAGGAAGATCTTTCAGAATGACGAATCTGCTTTTGGACACGTCAATTTGGTGAACCTTTTAGCTCGCCCACACAAACTAACATCACTATCCTGAGGAAACCTGATGGTGGTGTTGATTATAGTGAGCGAGCTAGGAGTTTTGTCAAATTGACGTTTTAATCATTGTTTACAATAGCAGCTTAACTATTTTGAACAATCAACGCTGATTTATAGTTTTAATAGGAATAAAAATAAAAAATACCTTGCTTATCGGTCAGCCCAATAGCTTCTGTTGCGTCCTCTGAAATTCCCTGGTTCTCACGGCCACCACAAAACGCAACGGCCAAGGCCATCTGTGGCCTCCGAGCATGAATCGATTTCGACACCTTCGTGGGGGAGAAGTGTCTCATCAAAGAGCTCTGTTGCAGCGCTGAATGGCAAAGTTTTGAGGGTTTTCGGATGCTTTTTTGTGGAGCGCTATAATAAAAAGCTGAAGTGGGGTTATAGAAAAATTGTATTTGTTTACAAGTACTTACACTTGGTTCGCCTAATTCCTCCTGTAAGACTTCTTCGTTTCGTGCTTTAGCCATCTCCAGAACCCGTTTTTGAGCAGTTGTTTGCCGTTTTCTGGCCATTTTTAGATTAATTTTAAAGGTTCCAGAAAGAGCGACCATGAAGCTCGTTTTAACGTGAAAACCAAAAAATACTATAGTTCTTCTTATGCAGAGTAGGTTGTCTAGACCTATTTTACAGGAAACCCTTGTTGTTGTTTTATAAATACTTTTGAAGTAAGTGAAAATGTCAATGAGCCCAAAATTAAAATACGGACTGATTGTATCCTGTTATTCTGTTTATTTCAGATAAGATATTAACAGCAAAACTTGAAATCAAGCTGCATTCATTTTTGAACCCCGTCATATCATAGTGAAAACTTAATATGATATCAGACTTGTTCAGTCGACTGTTGAAATCAAATTAAGTTTTCTTTTTGATATCAATAGCAAGATTTGATATTCATTTGCTCCCATTTTGTTAACCGACTTTGCTTGGGTTGGGTGCCTGGCTGCCTCCAGACTGTTTTGGTGATTCTAATACCAAAAATTTAAATTATATTAATTTTCAATTTTTTTTAAAGTGACCTATATAATTCTAGAGGGGGTCCGGCCCCTTATGATCTCCCATTAGTTATGCCAATGCAATCTGGCTGCAGTGTTTGCGGCAATTCGTTAATACCATACCAGAAAAGATGTTGCCGTGAAATTCATCGTGGACATGTATCCTTCACATTCTGGAGAATGCTAGTTTCACAGCAGAAAATCATCTGGATGAAATTGTCATATTGGATTTGAAACACTGAACTTGAATTCAATCTAGTATTCATTTTTTGTGCAACAGGCGGATGATTTGAAGCAATGTAAGCATGTGGCATTTTTAAAGTCTGACAAAAATAAAATTTGCAGTATTATAATCATATCGGGTCTGAAAAGCCATTTCAGTGCATATTAATTCCTTCTCCATCTTCAGCGCCTTCAGGGTTTCCAGTATCTTCTTCATCATCTTCTCCGTAAACTCCAACAATAGTCCATTTTATGACATGACAGGAGCTAATTTGACGGCCAACATAATTTTTGTAGTACCATAAATGATTTACCAGATAGAAATTAATTAAAATATATATTTATGATATTCAGTTGTTGTAGAAGAATTTGAGTAAACGCTGCTATCATTTTTCGTTTACACTGAAAAAAGTTCGCAACTGATTGTTGTTGAAATGATTTAATAAAAAAACTGACTAAAACTTCGCAATGAGTAATTGCATGGATTGCATTATTGATGGTTTCCTCATGTGTATCAAGGGAAAAGAATTGCACCATAGAGGTAACTCTAAGACCGGAAGGTCCTGAAGAAACGTGCTTAACTTTTTGGCTCAGCTCTGGTACTCTCTCCGGTCCCATCCGGTCCGATCCTCGAAACATAGGAAAATCCGCGAACCCCTCATTTTATCTGTCAAACTTTCATAGCGAATCAAAACAAACATTGTGTAGTACTAGAATTTCGACTGGAATAGGGTATGTTAATCGATTTACTTGGGACCAATAGGCTAGTCAAGTATTGAGCCAATTTAAAATCGTTAGTTTCTAACCGGTGATTGCAATCTGTTTGAATAAACGCTAGGCATATAATTTTTCTATAAAATTAGCATTTTTGTTGTGTGGCTGTTCAATGGATCATGAACCTTTAGCTTATGAACATCAAAAGCGCAATCATAAACATATTAAAATTGAATATTGTATTTTTGCAATTTTGGCCACGTTGATTACTACTACTATGGAACCTTTCTTATGTGCAATGGACGGTACTTGGTGCCTTTGTGACCATTTTTGTGTTCCAGATTACTGTTTAGTGGAACGGCATTGTCAAAGGACAAAAGGTTGAAAGGACAAAAGCTCGAAGTGACAAAATATCGAATTTAAAAAATATAAAGATATAAACGGTTTCGACTGTTGTTGATTATTTAGAGTTCGGCTTTCAGTCTAAATGAATAGTGTTGATTACTTTTATTTCATCGCCTACGTTTCGGTTCTGGTGGGACCTTCTTCAGGTTGCGATACTAAAATCAAAAAGTCAGATGATCTTTTTTTAGGTAAGATTACGTCTTTTGGCAACATATTGGCGATGCAATTTCAAAAAAACCAAAATTGATTGCGTTACGAAAAGTGGTCAGGATTTGACCACTTATAACTCTGTCAATAGCGGATGGATTTTAATTATAAACAATCCAATCGATTTCTACAAATCTGCTAAAATGAACAGATTATTCATTTTCAATAGGTCACTATTGAAAATTACACAAATGTTCAACTGTTAGAATGGTGAATAAAATTATCACCGATTGCCTGCAAAAAGCGCCTTCCCTAACACAGATTTAAACATCGAATTCCATCCGGACTTGCCGAACGGTGCCTATGCAATCACCGTGTGTGGTGGTGTCCGGTCAGTCGTCATCAGCAGTAGCAGTGCTTTCGGCGTGTTCTCCAGTACACAACAAAAGGCGGCCCACAAGCAGCGAGCTACAGCTCACAAGACCGTCCATTCACCGAAGAAGGAGGAAGAAGCCACACCGCTACTGATTGGATTTAGTAGCCCTTCGTGAGTCGTTATGAGCCATCTATGCCAAGTGCGCCACTCTCGTTCCAAACAACATACAGCTCGCCAGCCTCATCTGTTTTGAACACCCTTATAGCTCAGCATTACGCAACCATCACGACAAAATGGTCCTTTTCAAGACCACCATACATTTGTTAAGGAGTATTTTCTGGACATTTGTCAAGGTCATCAATCGGATGTCAGTTCCCATAAGTTTAAATTTAACATACCATGTATTTTTAAAGCAATTTCAAAAACCAAAGTCGATTTATGATTTTGATCCAGAGATGATGGATTTTAATTCTTAATACGCTATAATTGTTCTACGAATCTGTTAAAACTAAGACTATAAATTTTCAAAAGGTCACTATTGAAAATTACACGAATGTGCAACTGTTACTTTTTTATTATAGTCACTTTAACATTCTTGGGTCATTCTTGACTTGGCCGGGGGTGAGATTTGAACTCGTGACTTTGGCGTGAGAGGTATGGATGTTAACCACTACGCCGGGGTCGCCTCCGCAACTGTTGGTATGATAATTATAATTATCACCGTTTGCCTGCGAAAAGCGCTTTTCCTAACACAGATTTCAAAAACAAATTTCATCCGGTCTCGTCGAACGGTGTTTATTCAATCAGCACGTGGTGTGAGTGGTGGTGTCCGGTCGTCATCAGCAGTAGTGCTTTTGGCTTGTGGCGTTGTAAATTTATTTCCAGCACACAACGAAAGGCTCCCCGCAAGCAGCTAGCTATCAAGGCTACCCTCAAGAGTCCTCGATTCACCGAAGAAGGAAGCTCTTCGTGAGTCGCTGTGGGTCATCTATGTCAAGTGCGTCTCCCTCGTTCCAAACAACATACAGCTCGCCAGCCTATTCAAGCTCTTTGATAATGTACCCAGCAACCAAACGTTTGTGGTCAAATGCGTCAGTATTGAAGTGGTATGACCTAAAGACGCACGGCTTCCATAATTCAACCCTGATGAGCTATGCCACCATTTGATAATAAATACGATGTTGAGCAATCATTTGGCAGATCTTCCAATAAGGGCCAGTATTAAAAGTGAATCCGAGTGGGAGCTTACTACTATTAGAGCGATAGAATAAATCTTTTGAGGAAAACAACTTAATGAAATACTAAAATAGTTCTATCTTAACAATTTCATCGCAACATTTTATCGAGAAAGAAAAATTAAACGGTGTCATGATGATACACCTTCACCCCGTATTATGGTACCTTCCCATTTTTGACATTTGTTTGTCTTATTCTTTGCTTTCTATAAAACCCTTCGAACGCTAAAGTAAATTGATTTCATTGATTTTTCTTGGACAAGGGATTTTTTTACACATCATCAGCTCTCTATTGATCTGAAAAAATATACATATAATTAATACGAAATTGGTATTTCAAAACTGAGAAAAACGAATAATAAAAATAATAAATAAATAATAATTGAGGCGAGCTGAAAAAAAAATGTGTTGGAACTGTGTTCTGTTTCGATGTTCTTCATTAAGAAACTTAGACATGAAGTATCTCTGTACTGGCGTGAAGCATCGACATGATTTTATGACATTCCAATGAACGCTACACCAGTGGAACTTTGCCTGAAACTTGATTGCTTTTGTAATAATATTCTTCGATCAAAATATGATAGGTGGTTGATTAACATACCACTTAACGTATAACAACAACGATTAATTGCATTGTTTGGCTAATTAAGCTTAATGATAACGAGTGGTATATCTTGTGAATGGAGTTTTATCACTCTAATACAATTGAAAACCGCGCAGAAAGCACCTCGACTTTATCCCGGTATATCTCTCCCGGTGATTCTACGTCCCGGCACGGAGGAAGTATAAAATTTAATGAACTGCAAAAAATCATAATGCTACTGTAGGCCGGAGGCTAACTGAGAGAAGACTGTGGCTTTTCGCTCGTGCTTAAGCGTTTCAATTTCAATTGTTTTATGGGTTTAATAAAGTTTCCACCTAGTGATGGTAAAAGCTGCGATGGTTTTGCACGCTTGCGGCAACAAAACAGTGAATGCCGAGAAAAGGCTCCACTTAGCGTTTTACCTACGCTTGGGAGATAATTTCCCCCGGAGCCGGTAGTATTGTTTTCTGTGGCTTTCAATGTGCCTTCCGTTTTCCTGATTCGTGCGGAATCCATGCGCAGTATCCTTGGCTAACGGGACCTCCTTGTACGACAGTGGCTTTTGTTTTCCAGATTCTGCTGTTCCATTCTTGCGGTTGCTCAAGTTTTTTTTATAATCATAATTATTTATCTATAACTTTGTTTCCATTTTCAGACTAGTTTTAAGGATTGGCCCAGTCCCGATATTGCACGATCGCTCACAGGACCCGATATACTTCAGAAACATTCAATCAACTCGCTACTGTTGGAACACAATGAAATTATAAGCCGAGGAATGCCATCACCGATCGAAGGTGAGTACCGTTGCATGAGTTTGTATATTGTGTGGCAATTCCAATGTATTTATTTTTATATTTATTTATTTACAATGATACAACAAGCCCAGGGGTTTCTTTTTTACGGAATGGAATTTACCACCTACATTATAAATGCTAGACAGCGGAATCCTTTATTTCAATTCGAATATTTTATCCGTCTACTTAAAATAATATCAGAATTACTATTATAAGTATTTAAATTTAACAATATTCATGTATAGCCTACATTACTATCTACACGCAAAACAAATGGCATGATCATCAAATGTAAGTACTGCGTCGTCTGCTTTTGTCTTTCAACAAATGTTAAGGTAGTTCGTTCAATGGACAAGCAGTATTTTTTTTCCAGAATGAATAACTTTCTCCGATTCATGACTTGTGTTCGTCAATCGGTAGTAGACTATTCAACAGAGGGAAGTCCAGAATATCAGTTGTCTTCTAATCCTTGTAGGGGAAAGTGCGTCAGTTTGGCCATCTTAAGAAAATCATCACGAATGATACTATATTCAGTTGAAAGTTGGAATGTTATTAAGCCCTATTTACATCATAAATACAAATTGAATATTAAAAGTAAACTTTTGAATCTAGTGAAAGAAGATTTGTTTTTTTTTGTTTTTTAACCGACGGTTTTATCCGTTGAGGCTAAAACTAATGTTTATTGAAAACTATAAAACACATTGTGCCATATAAGAAGCCAATGGCCATTTATATAGCTCCTGAAGGAATATTACCGATAAGTTAAAGGAAACTACTGATATACCTTATTTGAGTAATTCTCGTTGAAACCAGGCCGCCATTGACACATGGTCTTAAAATATTTAAATACATCCGCTTGATTGGTTGAAACTGATGAAAAAAATGAGATTGCCACTTTCCTTAGCTCAAATTAATGGACCCCTCACTCGCCAAGGGGCCTTACAGTTGTCAAAAAAGTTGAATTTCTAGCAATTCTTGACATACTTATCATGTTAAATCCTTGAAATTTCATATGGAACTGTTGTTGACTCATTGTTCGTGTGTATGAATGCGTTCATCACAATGATTTTGACATTTGGTTATTCTCGCCGGAAGTTTGTTCTGTGTTCCAGATTCACTAAAGATGTTGAAGAATCGCGCCTAATTTTCAAGACATTAATTTGTTTTTACGGATTTTATCAGTTTTATTATGGATCTGATTAATAACACATCATAAAAGTGTCAAGCAATGAAATTGTACTTTAGAAATCTGGTGTTTCTTATTGCACATGCGATTCCTACTGTTTCCCCTACAAAAAATCCAACGTAATATTCTGGACAACTCTTACGATTATCCATGGGATGCCTAGAAAGGGTTGAAATAAAATTTGACGGCAGACCAGTTCCAGGATAAAAAAAATATTAAAATTTTGACTCGACCATCTCCGATTTGCATGAAACTTTGCATAACATATTTGCAAAAAATTGTCCATTTTAGATCATACATTTTGTTTTTTTCAAAATAGCGTCTTTGACATTTTTCAATAAATTGTAGTACGAAAACGTCATTCTGATCAAAATGACGTCTGAGACAAAGTTGTTAAGGGAAGTTTAGTCTTTCTATTTTATACGCTTTAATTTTTGATTAATTTTAAGTAAAAATCCGAAAAAAAGAGTTAATATTGAAATATCTCAAAAGTTTACCTTCAATGTTTATAATAAATAAAGCTCATGAAAAATGAAAACGTTTGGAGTGTTTAAACATATGGACTATGGACCTTGAAAATAGACATAACACGTAGAACATCAACTTACGGTCATATTTTTAAACTTCTTGTTAACAAGCTTTTTCATAAAATTTTTGCACAGATAACAATTTATAATAGTTCAAATATTTTTTCCTGTGCAGAAATAACATAAAACTGCAAACGAGCAAAATCACAAAATTGACCAAAATATTTTTTTTTTCAACATTTTTTGTCAATTTTCAAGTGTTTATGGTTTTAAATATTACAAAAGTGGGATTTTTTTTCCAAAAAATATTAAAATTAAAGATAAACTGTTTAAAAATGTTAGTTTATATCAATTTTCTGGAATTTTAACTCAACATTATTAAGCAAAAATACCATGTAGGGGAAGTGGATGTAATGTCGACCTAAATGCCCCTAATTTGGGCCCCTACATAAATTCAAAAATCGACTAAATTTTCAAAAGCGACCAAAAATATCCATTAGAACCGTCCCAATGACGCGTTCATCTAGATAAAATTGATAAATATCAGATTTTTAGCGATGGGCTCAATCTTAGATCCATAGGCCAACATTAGAGCCATTTTCCCTATATTTTCCTCCGAAAGACTTTACACAGCTGTTTCTTCGACGTCATTTCGATCAGAAGGGACGCTTTCGTGTAAAAATTTATTAAAAAATTAAAAAGACGCTATTAATAAAAATACAACATGCAAAAAGGCCGAGTTTTTGTGAAAATGTGAATTATTGCTCAGTAGTGAGAGAATTCCAAGTTTACCTGTTCACCATTACCATTTAGAAGGCCTTGATCATCTTTCCAACATTACTGGGAACAAATCCAAAACCTAGTTTCTTTAATGAACAACTTTTACGGATATTCCGGATCTTCCGGTGGTCTCCCAGGTCCCTCGTATTCCAAAGTGATTCTGATATCAACAAATGTTTTCGAAAAAGTTCCAACTTTGCGTTTTGTTCCTGAGTGTTTCCATCGAAATTAACCATTTGCAAAGCTGTTAGTTCTAGCTTTTTTCTCACAGATGGCAACCCCCTCCGTGGTAGTCAAACAGTTTTCCAAGTTTGGAAAAAAAGGTTGATTCATGTAATTCTAAGCAACTTCGCTTTTATCTGCAAAACGGGTACTACCAGTGGATGCGCAAAAATTATCCGCGTTTGCTACACTCATAAAATAAATCACGTAACCAGTGGAAAATATTCATGTGAATTTCACATAACATGTGATGCAATAATTGGAAATTGCATCACTAAATCTTATGTGTCCAATGAAATCTATATGATTTCTCATAAAGAACTTCTTACGCTATGTGATATTCAGATAACAATCATTATTTTTGTTATTGGAAAAATATTATGTGCGTTCCTAACTAAGTGAAATCTTTTTTCATTATAGTATATCAATGATAGGGAATGGCCATAGTTTTTATGTAAAGCCTGTTCACGTTAAATTTCGGACTCTAAGATAATGGCGGGAATGCACATAATACAACAAAACCGATTCTTTATTTCAGTAAAGTAGACTTATATCAATAGCAAATCAAAAATCTATTACAATGAATGTTAGTTCCATTTCCTATCATCCTCTGTTCATGAACATCGCAGCGAATGTTAGAAGTTGACCTTGCAGGCGATGTAATGGTTTTTTGTCTTTTTTTTCGTGTTCTGTCTGTGCTTTCACCTACACAAGCAAGCATTTGCCTTGATTTTTATGTATAACATGGTAGAACGACGCACACCCTTGCCTCGAATCTCTCCAGCAGAAAAAGCATACGAAGTCGAGTGTGAGAGGAAATGAGCGCTTCTTGTTTGCTTTTAGGCTTTCCTTATTCAGAAGCATGTAGAGAGCAGTGGAGAAAGCACAGGTCTGATAATCGCAACGTTCGTTATTCGAGTCCAGTCGGCAACCTTTTTGCTATTTTTTTTTCGACATAATTAATTTACCTCACTAATACACTCTACATTTTTCGGTCTTCAATTTTCTTGCATTGGACCGCAGCTAGGTATATCGCATCTTCGGTTCATGCGGTCTCCACTTACATCATCTGATGATGAATCCCACATAATTGTAAGCGAATCTAACATCCACCCGTTGGGTGTAGCTTAATTTAATATTATTTCTTTTGTCTGTAAAATTTTCGAACTTTCTGTGGGATACCCACCATCACCTTCTGGTCCATTTGTCGAGAGCATTATTTAAGATTTGTTCCGCGTCCAACATTCCGATCAGTGTTGGGAAAATATCAAAAAATCAAATCTCATTAATTCCCAAGATCACGCTTGATTTTCTTAGACTAACATCAAAAAGCAAACAACTGTGGTTGATTTTGCAATCTGTGATATTGCATCTCAGAATATCAAGCTTCAAAACTCACCAGCTGCAAATTTCATCAAACTGTGGTAAGATTGAGTTTCATGATTTTTTCTTTACACCCGAACGCAACCGAAACTTTCATAACGGTTGGCAGAAGTCACTTCGTGTCTGCCATCAGTGAAGACTAAAAAGAGATAGCAAGCTATCACAACAAGCTATCATTTTTGTGTCGATTCAACTCTCAACTTGATTTTTACACATTTTGAATAGTCTCGCAATATCAAAGGAGTTTGTAAAATCTATATCAAGCATGATTTTTTTGTGTTTATGCAACGAAATCTACATTTTATTTGAAAACCTAATGACTACATTATTAAAGAATGCCATATCTCAGCAACGGTGCATTTAACTTTGGGTCTATGAGTATTCTAGACGTTTTTTAGTTACTTCAGCAAAAATAACTGAGTTGGCAACACAGATTCCTGGCACAATGTCAAACTGAAAACAGTCGAAACATTTTCCGCAGCTCAATTTGGCACGAAGATATCGACGTGTGTAAATAGCATGTTCTTGAAAATTTTGAAAAAATGGATGGGCGCCTGATCAGAGGGGCGGTTGTAGCACAATCAAATGGATTTCCAATATTTTGACCCGAAATGGGTATATTTCAATAATTGTGGTTAAAATTTGAGAAGGTCGATTACACGTGCTGTATGTCCACGGGAGTTGAACAAATCTCCTACCTGAAATATATATCCGCGACCAGACCGGGAATCATACCCGTTGCCTCTGGGTTGGTAATACCATAGAGGTTACTCTAATACTAGTAGGTCCCGAAATAATGTGCTCAACTTTTTGGCTCAGCTCTGGTATTATCTTCGGTCCCAAGCTAATCGATTCACCCCTCGAAACATAGGAAAATCCACTAACCCCTCATTTTATGTGTC